ATGTTTTTGGATGAGTGAGTGAGTGAGTTTAATGTTGGAAGAAGCCTAGTTAGATGCCACAGGCTGTAGAAGGGTACCACTTTCACCTGAGTATGGTGCTGACAAATCATGGATCAATATTGGGCAATCTGAGATTTGAAAGGATTAATCGACAAATGTGTTTGAAATTACGCTGACCTTGATGTGCCTACATCTCTGACTGAGTGACAAGGACAGAAATTTAATTTACGGAAAAGCATAAGGTTTATTTCAGGGTAGTAAAGCCACATGCACTTAATAAGTGTCTTTAAATTAAACCAAAGATCAATGTTTGATGCATTACATCGTATGCCAGTTACATCGATCGATGCTCATGATGTCAATCTCAGGATTGTCTGGTCCACACTCAATTATTTGCAGACCGCCACCATATATCAAATTGTCTTGACTGTATTGCAAACCTATGCATACTGCATACCCCCCTCTAGGGGATGTTTAATTTTGGAGCTCAGTCAAAAACTACATTATACAGTGAACAAACAGGTGATGGATGATATTTCCGATAAAACATCACTGCTCGATCATGATGATAATTTACCCATTAAATGATATGTTTCCTGGTCTGATAGGCATTGTTTTATATGCAAAGATTAAGATTACTGTGCAATTAGCTGTCCACAAGGTTTCTCCCAGATCTACAGGTGATACGGTTAAAATACCCAAAAATATATAATATAACTAAAAAGAATTCAATGCAATGATCAGAAGAAACTACCTTTCTTACCAGAAATTATATATTCCAATATCATGTTATTTTAGTTGCAGATTTTACTTTATGTATCAAAAATAATAATAGCCATAAGCATAGCACTTTGGTACAGCTGATTGCTATTGCCAATTATATTTTTACACATGGAACAGTTTGACCAGTCGACTTTCAATTTTCCTGCGATCTTGCCCTTTCGATTGTGAAACATTATGTTGACAAATAATAGTGAGAACAAATATGACCTTTAACAAGTCATAGTAAGGAATTATGATATATGTATCCATTCCTTGTCAAATGAGGTTGATGTCAAGACATCAATAGCAGATTACAACTGACTGGTTGTTGCTGTGAATATTATGCAAATTATGAATGAAATTAATAAAATAGATCACAAACATAAGTCCAGATATATACAATGAACACTTTTTGGGATCAGACATGATTGTATTGCCTACTTCTGTACGGGATTGTTGACATGGTATTTCCAGTGTTACCATCTTCCCATGGCAAGGGAGTTAACTGACCATAAAGGCAAGTGATGTGAGAGATGGAATCTGATTGGTCAATAGGAGGGACATAGAAGGGACATAACTCCTGATAGCCACTGGTGGCGCTACAATCAACCCAGAAATTCCATCCTAGATCAGCAAGGGTGGAAACTGGACTTTTACAGTCAGTTAACTCCCTTGCCTTGGAAAGATGCAGTGTTACATGCTCACAGCAATGTCTTTGTGTTGAGAAAAAAAACATCAAAATTCATTGCAGGCGTGTATTATGCATACTCCCCTCTACGCAGCTGTATATTTTTTAAATACACACAATACCAAAGAAACTATTGAAACTGGAATATTGCTGGGTGCAGTATTAAATATTAAACAACAAACAAAACATGCCTGTAAACAACCAGGGGGAAACATCACTGGGGGTTACCTCATTGCTTAGTGGCTGTACAAGTACTCTCTTGTCCTTGAAGCAGGGCAGGGTTGTAGAGATTGTATGAGAGCTTCTCACACTATTGAAAACACAGCAAACAAAGTTCATTAATGTTAACAAGTATATCCCCACGTTACGTTTTGAGCCTCACCTTATTTCAAGCCCCATAACAATATGGGACCCTGTGCTTAATGACATAATCAAGGTAGACGCTTCAAGGGCCACTGAAGACATCAAAGTTTTCGCCACTTGCCGCTAGGGCTGGGACGATACACCAACTGTGCGATCCCATATGTATCACGATACCTTACCCACGATACGACACACATCACGACAATTGTATGTACTCTTTTCTATGGTGTGTAAGCCATGTTTTTCATAGACAGGATGGCCAAATACCTGGCACACTATCAATTTACATTTTCGCTACTCAATTTCACAAGTAATTACTGTTTGGTGTAACATTTGTTGAAGAATAAATTTAAGGTTAGAATCGGTACTTTTTACTTTGTGTGAGATTGTGATAAATATTTGTACCAGGAAGTAAAAAATCTCATTCCACCGATGCATCGGTGCATCATGCCACTGCTACTTGCCGCTGAAATCATGTTATGAATTAATCTACACGAGTTAACATATTCAATAAGTAATGAAAACATACCTCAAAACTTAAGCAAAACTTAAGCACATTTTAATCAAACTTGATCTGATGATAATTTTGCTTCCTAACATTCGTATCCACCAGTGATGTATCGGCTGCAGTTTGTGAACTTCCTGTCAGTATTGCCATGTGACTGATTTTAACAAGATGGTGCCTGATCGACTCACTTCGCTCAAGGCATCGTTAAACAAACAAGACAGGGTCATTTGACCATTCAAGTGTTAACAGAAATAAATGTTCTCTAAGGTAGTGTATTGGGATTGTTATCAGACACGTAATGAGAAATACTTCGTGGGGGCTCGAAAACCCATAACACAAGGACATATGATATCAACTGACACTGAGTTAGTGAGTGAATGATGTTTGATGCTGAATAATGCAACATGATTATTCCAGGGTGGCCTGAAAATGGTGAAACCCGACCAGGCAAAACAGTGATTGATAGCATGAGCACCGATGTATGCTGTCAGGGTATCAGCCAGGTGACACACTGTAGCCATCTGAATCTTATCAGCGCACCATGAAGATCAGGGTTAGAATCGGTCTTCAGCTACCATGCTTATCATGCTTATTGCAATAGGCGACTAACGGGATCGTGTGATCAGATTGATTGACATGGTTGATGCATGTCATCTTATCCCAATTGCGTGGATCGATGCTCATGATGCTAATCACTTTTTTGGTCTGGTCCAGACCCGATTATTTACAGACCGCCTACATAAAGCAGGATATTGCTGAGTCAGGCGTTAAACAACAAACAAACAAATCATTAGACAAGCAGGAGGAAATTAGAACCCAGAACTACAAACAGACAACTCAAGTACTCCAAGTATGCCATGTTTGAAAACTACTTACAAATAATTAATCCAGATAATGTCTCATTCAAAACAAAAGCAAAACAAAGTGTGTAATTTCTACCAAAATGAGACTGACCCAAGCGGGAATAACCCAGGGGAGGTAACTCAGGTGTACTACAGTGTTGAAGTCAGTAATCTGGATGTAATTACTGTGCAGTGTGAAACTGCTCACTCAAGTTTCTCCAACACTAACAGGAAGTGTTGAGTTGCAAGAGCATCATGGGAATGTTTGTGTAAACTTTAACACCTGTCAACAGCCACAAGGCCTGTAAATGTTGTACTTACAGACAGAACATTTCAAAATGAATCAAAGGTTCAGTCTCCATCAGGAATGGGGACCGGAAATCTGGGTTTGTTTCATATACGAACAAAACACAGAAATATATCTGTCAGCAAAATTGGAATCAGGTGTTGCTTCCAAAATAAATTTCAAACTAGTTATAAATAGCACATTTTCTGACTCAATATTAAATTGGGGCGGTCGGGTAGCCTAGTGGTTAAAGCGTTCACTCGTCATGCAGAAGACCCAGGTTCGATTCCCGACATGGGTACAATGTGTGAAGCCCATTTCTGGTGTCCCCCGCCGTGATATTGCTGTGACATTGCTGGAATATTGCTAAAAGTAGCGTACAACTATACTCACTCACTCACTCACTCAATATTAAATTACCGATATTTCAACTCTCCCTGGTCATAGCATATTTGCAAATCCTCCAACAGTACATTCCCCAGCAAAAGTTTTTTTTAATTGTTTTCGTTTTCATTTCCAAAGGTACCAGGTAATCATACATGTAGAAAGATCATCTTTTACAAGTGTAAACACTGTATGCATATCGAGGATATCTGGCAGAATATGCATATTGTTGGCAACAGAGGCATTGTGTTGGCTTGTATATAATTCACTATATAATTCACAAGTGGTTCAAGTGTCAAGCTCCACTTTTATTCAAATGTGCAGTACTATTATTCTGGAGGCAAGAAATTCCTCTACAACAGCTATTTCTTTGTTAATCTTTAGAATCTTCACATCTTTCACTGTTCTTTATACTAGAGATATTAATGCGTATCTTGGCAACCAAAAGCATATGATTTATGAAGTGCAAAGATGATAGGATTTTGGTTACGTTAAAATAATTGTGAATGCTGAGTATTAGGTCAATTCCGACTTTTATTACACATTTACAAGATATAAAAAGGTGAAAGTCAGTTTAATGATTATGTATGTAAAATGAGGGGCAAAAGAAACGTATATCGAGTTGTTTGTTTATGAAATTGAAAATTGAAAGAACTGTTGTTAAATTTGGTTATGTCTATTTAACCATCACTTGTTGATGCAACAGTTTGTAACAAGTAATTTGTGACTGGCTAATATTGTAAAAAAATAAATTGGTTAAATAAAGAGTGGTAAAAGAAATAGACACAGAAGTCCCCTGACTCCATTTTTATGCTAAAGATAAGATAAGATAATATTTATTGCAGAAACGTTCCATTACGGGACAGATGCAATTTTAAAAGACAAGACATTATGATTCATATATACATATATACAGACATACATAATTTACATTCCTGTAGACACATACAAAAACAAAATAATCAATATAACATATTTGATGATATTTTTATACATTTTGATTATGAAGGGATATTTATTGTTTGAAATGATAGATATGGAAACAAATGCAGTTGATATTGACTGCTTCAATATTTGACAGGATGTAGTGAAATAATTTATCTTCATGACTGTGGACATTTACATTTACATTTTGTCTGGATAATTTTTCAAAGAGTATATGCTGAATGTACAGCCTCGTGACATCTCGCATGTTTGAAATGTTGTCACGTGTTCCCCAAATAAAACGCTTATTTTTAAAGATAAGATGTCAAAGAGAACCATCCATCAGCAGTTGTGAATTATGTGAATTTAAAAAAACAAATTAAATAGTTTTAATTCAAATAATAATTTTAAAATATAACAAAGCAGAAGTTAATTTTTAGGATATTGTATCGCTAAAACAACATATTTTCAATTGGAAAACAAACCAGAAAAAATCAACAGCGAGGTATCGTTTCTTTACCCATAAGTGTATATCATTAAACCTCCGCAGCCTCAAGGGGATCAAGCATAAAATATGGCAAGTATGCAGAATTATATTCCCACTCCGCCTTTTTCAACTGTGCTGAAGGAGACATAATGTCAACAACATGTTGAAAGTTGCAGTCATGAGACAGGAACACTGGCTGAAGGGGACCTAGTGTTAGACGATGTGAAGCAATGGAGTCCTGACAATGACTGTTAAACCAGGCTTGAGACAGGGGCACCGGAGCCAGGGAGGCGTCACATGAACACAATGGGCGTTGACTCATAGTTGGATGGGAGAACTGTAACCAGTCTGGCTCTCATAATATACAGTGACATATTGCATATTGCTCCATATTCAAACTGACTGTGAGAACACATTGCATAATAGTTTATATTCCTTGACTGTGTGAACACTGTGAACATATTACTCCCGGACTGGTGAACACATGGATCTATTACCGGTACAGTTCTACTAAAGCTGAATTAATCCACTGGTCACAACCACACAGGAGTCCTAGTAAAGACTTAATTGCAGAGCCATCATTCCAAAATTTTGTTCCTAAACTGACAATTGACCAGCCACTACCCCTGTAACGAATCAGTATTTACAAACAGGTTAGTGACACATTCCTTAAAGTTGCTCATTCATCCTTGGTCCTGATGCTTTATACAGAGCGTTCATTGCTGGAAAAAGAAATGTGTTCAATGTTTGCTTTTCTTTCTTTTTATAAGAATTGATAAAATTTTGCTCCTTTATATAATACTCACTGAAATAACTATTACCCTTGAAAAAAGACCATTCCAATGTTGACAATGTTACTATAGCTTCAGTGGGGAGCGCACACTAGGTTCCTTGTACGCCATGCTTGTCCATCTTCACTAGGCAAGGGAGTTACCTGACAAGAAAAGTCCAATTTCCACCCTTGCCAAACGAGGCTGGAATTATGGCGTTTTGGCTGGACAAACGAGTCTGTGCATTATCCAATCAAAATCGCATAGCAAAATCAACAAAAGGCACCAGTTCAGCATGTACCTGACAGACCTGCAAAGTTTGATGAAAAAATATTGAACTGTGTATGAGTTATGCTCCGGAAACGCAACGTGACGGACGGAGCCCGTTTCTATATCCCCCGCCAACTTTGTTGGGCGGGGGGTAACAACTGGTTCACAAACAGCATGGTGACTGCTGTTCAGATTTCAATCGATTGCAGGACTTGCAAAGCACCTGTACCATCACTGGGAGTAGACAGATATTTTCAAATCTTTTCCTGTTTGTAATCATGGTGTTCTTTGTGAGTTAAGACCCGTTTTATTCATTATCGATCATATTATCTAGTCTGGGCTCTGCCATTTTGTTTGAAGCAAATGCAAGTGATATGAGAGGTGGAATCTGATTGGTTAATAGTGGGGACATGGAAGGGACATAACTCATAATATGTAGGGGTGATAGTGGTGGTGGTGGCGAAGGTGATGATATTGGTGGTGATGATGATGTTGCTGTGGATGCTGATGGTGGTGGGGGGTTTAGTGGTGACGACAAGCCAGGCACTGAGGATCAGTTCTAACCAGTGTGCGAAATAGCTGCAAAATTTCAGCTGGGCTAAAGATTCTGAAATGTTCCAAGCCAGACTGGCAACTGATATTTTAATTGTGATTTTTTTTAAAGCAGTTCTCCCCTTTCTGTACATTAATACAACCATCAAACCTGAAAAATCAAATTATTATTAAAAACGAATCAAGGTTGCAATGTTGTGATGTTGTGAATTTCAAGCTCAGAGTTAATCCTCTTCATGACATTTGACTCAGAATTTGCAATTTATTGATACCTTCAGAGAATCAAATATCTGGGAAACTGTCACTTACTTAATCTAGTGAAATCTGAACTGGCTACTAACTGTCAAGGCTAGCTAGCCGACTGGTCAGCAATATTTTGAGACTATTTCATACACTGATTCGAAGCCAGAGGCCGTTTGGGCACTGAGAGGAAATACTGGGTCTGAATATACGTGTATCCTTTCTGACCACAACACCAAACCTTATCCCCTCACTAACTCACACACTCACTCACTCTCATTAGAACTCCAACTGCTCTACGTGGTCAGTGTAGGTGTGTTCTCAGGCTCTCCCATACAACCATATACTACACACCCAGTAGGTTATAACCACTACGTGGTCAGTATAGGCGTGTTCTCGGGCTCTCCCATACACCCATATACTACACACCCAGTAGGTTATAACCACTACGTGGTCAGTATAGGCGTGTTCTCAGGCTCTCCCATACACCCATATACTACACACACGGTAGGTTATAACCACTACGTGGTCAGTACAGGCGTGTTCTCAGGCTCTCCCATACACCCATATGCTACACACCCGGTAGGTTATAACCACTACGTGGTCAGTGTTCTCAGGCTGTCCCACACACCCATATACTACACACCCGGTAGGTTATAACCACTACGTGATCAGTATAGGCGTGTTCTCAGGCTCTCATACACCCATATACTACACACCCGGTAGGTTATAACCACTACATGGGAGGAGATACAGACCCTTCCACATCCTTGTCTACACACACCTACCGTTCTTATCCTAATACAAAGAGGACCAAAATTCCTTTTCTATTTCTTTTTAAACTTTGTGTCAAAAAACTTTGAATTATTTCTACATGTATCAAAAGAGATTGAATATTTGATTACCCAAGGTATTTAAATATATTCATGAATATTTAATTGATTAAAAACTTATTCACATGGCTTTATAAAAGCAATTAAGAAACAATTACTGTAAGAAACCAGATAAATCCAAAAAGTACTAGAATTTGCACTTTATTTAAAAATTGTAATCTGAAATAACATATGTTACATTAGTCCATGTCCAAAACATGGTAATAGGCATTTTGTATTCATAGTTTTCAGCAATGGACTACCAGTTGTCGTAGTATCCATATTTAGTGGGTAAGGTTGCTGAGTTTTGCAATTAAGTAACTTACTCTGGGAATCAACCCAAACAAGTACTAGAAATTGTACTTTATTGAGAATATGGAATCCCAAACTTAACGTATGCTACATTTGACCACTTTTTAAAGGCATTGAGTATTCAAAAACCAGATATTTAAAAACCTGGGGCCAAATCCACAAATCTATTTTAGTGCTTAGACAATTGTAAATCCAATACTTTAACATTGACTTATGACTGACATAGCGCTAAGACCGCTTCATGGAACCTGGCCCACATGCACAAAGCGATCTTAGCGCTAAGACTATCATGAGCCTATGTTAAAGTATGGGAGTTACGATCATCTTAGCGCTAAGATCTCTTTGTGCAAGTGGGCCCAGGTCCTTGAGTGCTCATATCTGTATCATGTTTACAAGAGGCAAGCATCTCCAAATGCCAAATAGTTTAATGTTCGTATATCCGATTAATTACGGTAGGTCCGAATGTGGCTGATGTAGTGTGGGTAAATACGTGCTCCACAGCTTCTATTCAAGTCTATCAGATCAGCCATTACTGCAAACACACCGTGTTTGCCCTGCATACATGAGTACTGTCTCTCCCAGGAGAAGACATGCAAATAAAAACTGCAAATACCAATACAAAAGTAAAACAAACACATTTTTTATCAAGAACTATGCAGCGTGGTTCTTTTATTCCGAAACTGATCTGTGAAGAAAGAGGGGTTTGTGGAAATGGAAAAAATGGATTCTTTTTCATTCATTATTTTTCACATGTCAGCATATTTTTCCTGGCAGGTTTTTTTTCCTGTCAACATATTTTACCTGTCAGCATATTTTACCTGTAATTGTATTTTAAACATTTTATCTGTCAACACATTTCGCCTTACAACACACGTCATTTGTTATATTTTACCTGAGAGCACATTTTACCTGTAAGCACATTTTATCTTATGTATTTTATCTGTCATTATAGTGTCAACACAATTTACCGGTCAAAATCCCCTCATTTAAAGGGACTCTAGGCTCACATCAACTGGCAGCCCCAGCAAAATTTCACTTGATAGTCTTCCAGCTCAAATTATGTATATTGACCAAAGAATAGTCAGTTATTTAAATATGAAGGGTATGTATAAATGTTTCATGATCCCTATCTTTTTTTCTTCTGTATATATGATAGCAAGTAAAAGTTACCCTAATGACACAGAGATGGTGTGCCAGCTTCTGACGGGGAATAAAACAGCGTGACCTAGACACCAAACAGTGGAGTCCCTGGCAGACCACGCCAATCTACTCCTATTCTGATCAGCTTGAGCAATGGAGTGAATTGGCTAGTTATATCATCATTCCAAATATCTGCCTGGCATGCCGATCGTGACCACATAATTACGGCCCACATTACGCAGCTCTGATCCGGAGTAACCTATACAATTTTCATTAGGAAAGAATGTAGTAATTACCGGTACAAGTTAACCAACCCTAGAGAGATCGGCTGCCAGACCGCTGCTGTGGTCTAGTGGATAGAGTATCTGCCTTGAGAGAAACTTGCTGTTTCCCTTCCTGGTGCTCAGCATTAATGGGATAAAATAAGGACTGGTCAGCTCAGTATAGTGTGTCTGAGTGGTTTACATATTCAACTGTGGGATATGGGATATCAGCTGGCCAGCACTATAAAACTGTCATTAGTCAAAGAGGCACCACGCACGCCAACACCCATTTCACATGTCTCTATATAAGTGCAATAATCTTCTACTCGAGGTTTACCCTTTCACCTCACCTGACCGCCTCCGTGATCCCCGGCCGCATCATACCAAAAGACGTTAAAAGATGGCACTTGTTTTTACCCTGTCTGGCGTTCGGCTTTAAGGGACTAAAACAAGGACTGGTCAGCTCGGTGTCAGTATACTGTGTCTGAGTGGGATATTCATGTTAAACTGCGGCATGGTGGCTAGCACTAATAATCGGCATCACTCCAGACTAGTACAAGCAGCCACATACACATATGCCTGCATGTCGCTGTATAAGTGCAATAATCTTGGACGTGACGATAAACCCCATTTCACCTCACCTTTCATCTCACATCACCTTTCACCTCACCTTTCACCTCACCTCACCTTTTACCTCACATCACCTTTCGTCTCACATCACCTTTCACCTCACATCACATCACCTTTCACCTCACCTCACCTAACCTTTCACCTCACCTCACCTTTCACCTCGCCTCACCTCACCTTTCACCTCACCTCACACCTCGCCTCGCCTCACCTTTCACCTCGCATTACCTTTCACCTTGCCTCACCTTTCACCTCACCTTTCACCTCGCCTCACCTTTCACCCCACCTTTCACCTTGCCTCGCCTCACCTTACCTTTCACCTCACATCACCTTTCACCTCACCTCACCTTTCACCTAACCTCACCTTTCACCTCACATCACCTTTCTTCCGCCTCACCTTTCACCTCACCTTTCACCTTGCCTCGCCTCACCTTACCTTTCACCTCACATCACCTCACCTTTCACCCCACATCACCTTCCACATCACCTTTCACCTCACCTCACCTTTCACCTCACCTCACCTTTCACCTCACATCACCTTTCACCTTGCCTCACCTCACCTCACCTCACCTTTCACCTCACATCACCTTTCACCTCACCTCACTTC